TCTTCCCCCTCACTTCTCCAACTCCTTCCCGCCTTCCTCCTCCGTCGCCTCCTCCTCCTCCTACTCACTCCTCCTCCTCCTCCTCCTCCTCCTCCTCCTCCTCCTCCTCCTCCTCCTCCTCCTCCTCCTCCTCCTTCTCCCACTCACTCCCTCCCCTCCGAAGCCTTCTCCTACCCTCCTCGCTCTCCTCTTCGCCTTCCTCATCCCCAGGCCCACGCCTCTCCTCCCGCAGCTCCCCCTCCTCCTCCGTCCCCGTCCACCCACCGAAGCCTTCGCCCCTCCTCCTCAGAGACAGCTCCTCCCGCTCGCACCCCCCAGAAACGTGCGGGTGGGGCGGGCAGGGCGTCTCGCCTGGGCCGTCCCCGCCACCCGTGATCCCGAAGAGCCCACAACTTGTGCAACAGTTTCACACGCGGAGGGCGGGCGGCTTCCAACGTGTGGCTCTCAGCTTGCCGCCGCGCACAGTCGTCCTAAAAGCTCGCAGCACCTTCACGGGTGGAGGGCGGGCGGCTTCCAACGTGTGGGCTCTGGCGTTAGCGCCGCGCACGTTCGTCTCAAACGTTCGCGGCAATTTCACGGATGGAGGGTGGGCCGTTTTCAAACTGTGGTTCTCGCGTCAAGGCCGCGCACACTCGTCTCAAAAGTTTGCAACCGTTTCACGGATGGAGGGCGGGCGGTTTCCAAATGTGGCTCTCGCCTGAGCGCGGCGCACATTCGCCTTAAAAGCTTGCAGCTGCTTCAAGCATGGATGGCGGCTCCTTTTCAACATGTGGCTCCAGCCTTAGCGCCTCCCACATTCGTCTTAACAACATGCGGCGGCTTCACGGATGGAGGGCGGCTCCTTTCTAAAATGTGGCTCTCGCCTTGGCGCAGCGCACATTCGCCTTGAACGATTGCAACGGCTTCAAGGACGGATGCCGGCTCCTTTTCGGAATGCAGCTCTCGCACTGGCGCCGCGCACAGTCGTCATAAAAGTTTGCATCCACTTCAGGGATTCGTACGGTCGAAGTCCCAGAAAGTATGCTCTGGCACAAACGTAGGATTGCCAGGACGCAGCAGTCGCGTGGATCCGCGGCGCTGCAGCCCCAGGCACTGCTTTTAGACACGACTGCGGAGTATCGGACGGCTGTCTTCTGACTGGCCACTTCCCGCAATGAGAACCAAGTCATTCAGGGACCTATGAAGAGCGAACTTGGAGGGTGGGCGGATTGCAGCATCGGTAACGCGTCTTGGGTTTCCACTGCTCCTCCTCCTCCTCCTCCTCCTCCTCCTCCTCCTCCTCCTCCTCCTCCTGCTCCCCCTCCCCTCCCCCTCTTCCTCCACCTCCGCCTTCTCCTTCTCCACCTCCTCCCCTGACAGCTCGAACCCTGATCCGACACCACATCCCAAAGCGATTGGGAACAGCCCCTGCAAGGGATGCATCGGTAATCTGCGCGGTTGAAGGGGATGGACCAGAGTATCCCAGCGATCCCGAAGCCCGGTGGAGAGGTCGGCATTCGGCTGGTGGTTCCTCTCCTCCTCCTCCTCCTCCTCCTCCTCCTCCTTCTCCACCTCCTCCTCCTTCTCCTCCCTCTTGCTCCTCCCTCACTCTTCCTCCCTCTTCTTCCTCCTCCTCCTCCTCCTCCTCATCCTCCTCCTCCTGAGGTCGCCAAGCAGGGAGTCGAGCAGCAAGGAGTGCGTGAGTCTGACTACCACCGCTGGCGAGGCCTCGTGCAGCTGGCCCGCGAGGCCCCTAGGTGGAGTGAAGGGTTGCACGCGTTGGTTGGGGACGAAGTGGATGCGACTGATCACACTGAGCTGATGGAGGCCTAAGCCAGCGCGAGGCTGAAACGGCCTCGCGCCAGGCTGGAGGCTGCCCTGATCCCCTGCCAGCCGCCGCGCAGCCCGCTCCCTCAGAGGCTCCCGAAACAGGCCTGTTCGACGGCCTCTCCCAAGACCCTGCTGAAGGGCGGGAAAATTTCCGGGATCTGGGGCACAACTTCAATGGGCGCCCGCTTTTGCACGCGCTTGTGACAGCGATATCGGGCAGAGAAGTCGGCATGGCCCCGTGCAAGTTCCTGTGACGCCTACGAAGCTTTCCTTCCTGTGGGCGGAACCCCGCTCGGGCCCTCCTCATGCCGTGCCGTCGAGAGCATGCGCCCTCCGGCCTGAGTGAGCAGCTGCGGGGGCGCAAGGCGCAACGCTGGCCGTCTCAGCAGCACGGGCTGGAAGACCTTGGCCTGGATCTCCCCGACGGGATTCCCCAGGACACTCGAGCGCGCTTGGCGAGCATGTTCGGCCTCAGCTCCGATGGGGGGCACCCGAGGCCAGAGGCGCGGAGGCGCGGAGGCGCGGAGGCGCTGGACCCGCGCCCGCAGGCCACAGGGACTCCGTGTCGGGCGCTGGTGGTTCGACCGAGGCCGACAGCCCCTCGGCAGAAGCCCCTTGGGGCCAGCCTCCTCTCCGAAGCAGAAGGGGGGAGGTTGGAGTCGGCCTCAGAGGCAGAATGCGACACTGCCGCGGTCCTCGAGGCGGAGGGCTGGCTGGCCCACGACTGGTTTCAGGCCGCCCTTTTTCCCCAAACAGTGCTTGCACCTAGGGATTCTCACTCGTGGGATGAGAAGCGGGCCCCGTAGGTTGGCTATGTTACCGCTGTCGCCGCCCCGTCGCCGCCTCGTCGCCGCCCGTCGTCTGGGCCTCAAGGTCGGTCTGGCAGTTATGTAGTCGCCGTCGCCGCCCCGTCGCCGCCTCGTCGCCGCCCGTCGTCTGGGCCTGCATGTCGATCTGGCGGCTATGTTGTCGCCGTCGCCGCCACGTCGCCGCCTCACCGCCACCTCGCACACCTGCACCACATCGATTGCACCACATGAGTTTTCCTTCCTGATTCAAAATTACCCCGGTGACGCACCGAACCCCTGCGCAGTGCGGGGCAGGAGTAGCTTGGGAGACTTGACGAGAAGGCGGCGGCGTGACATGGACGCGTGTACTTCTGCGAGCGGCATTCGGAAGGTTCGCAGGTCCCCAGTCAATGGAAACACGATGAGTACTAAGTGAACCCCCGAGTCACTAAGGAAGACGCGAGGTCCAGAGGGAGACGGTGGGCAAGGGGCTTCAAACGTCGGCGGGGCAGCAACAACATGACATGGCCCCCCAAGGACGGCGAGGCCCCGCTCAGATCTGCGCAGTGCCTCACTCTGCTGGACCCGCCAGCTGCCTTCGAGAGTGGCGAGCCCACCAGCAACCCTCGAAAGCGGCGACAATTTCGCAGATGGCAGCCCCCCACGGACGGCGAGCTACCGCGCAGATCCGCGCGGTGCCCCACTCCGCTGAACCCACCAACGGCCCTCGAAAGTGGCGACAAATTCGCAGATCGCAGCCCCCCAGGGACGGCGAGCTACCGCTCAGATCCGCGCGGTGCCTCACTCCGCTGGACCCACAAGCAGCCATCGAAAGTGGCGACAAATTCGCAGATCGCAGCACCCCACAGACGGCGAGCTACCGCTCAGATCCGCGCGGTGCCTCACTCCGTTGAACCCACCAGCAGCCTTCGAAAGTGGCGGCAGTTTCGCAGATCGCAGCACCCCAGGGACGGCGAGCTACTGCTCAGATCCGCGCGGTGCCTCACTCCGCTGAACCCACCAACAGCCTTCGAAAGTGGCGGCAATTTTGCAGATCGCAACCCCACAGGGACGGCGAGCTACCGCTCAAATCCGCACGGCGCCTCACTCCGCTGGACCCGCCAGCAGGCTTCGAAAGTGGCGGCAGTTTCGCAGATCGCAGCACCCCAGGGACGGCGAGTTACCGCTCAGATCCGCGCGGTGCCTCACTCCGCTGGACCCGCCAGCAGCACTCGAAAGTGGCGACAGTTTCGCAGGCAAAGCAAGAGGAGACAAGCAGGAGGGGGGCGGGAGGCGGGAGGCAGGAGGCACGCCCAAGCGCGCGTGTTGTCGCAAGAATCCATGTGCCCCCCCCCCCCCCAAAAAAAAACACCAACGCGACAAAGTGCACGCGCGCGCGTGGTCGCGCACGCATGCCGAATCCCATTAGAACTGTAGGCCCCGAAAGGATTTCAAAACCGAGGGCCCCGACAAAAAAATAAAACAAATGGTTTCGCAACAAGGGTTGTGAAACACATGCGCCCCTGCTCTTGTGAATTCTTCGGGGGACCATAGGCCCTAGGCGTTTCAAGATGTTGAACACACTCTACCAAACGAGCCTTCCGCGCCGCATGTCGAACTCATTCGAACGCACTTGCGCGCATGCTGGGGGGGGCACGATTTGTGTCAAATAATACCACGAGGGCCATTCGCGCGCGTCGGCCGCGCGCGCGCATGTCGAACTCTTTCAAAACCCTTCATCGCCGTCGCGAGGACATCGTCATCGTTAGCAGCGGGCGCGATCAACAAACGGCGCCGTCATTGGCCTTGCCGTCGTCATCGCCACCATCGCCACCAAAATCGCTACTCTCATAATCGAGTATACCATTGTCGGCGTCGCCATGATACCGCGCCCGCCCAAGTCACCGTCCCGCAACGAAGTGCCCGCTGGGAAAGTGCCCCACGGTCAGCGCCACAGAGGCCGCGTCGGTCGCGCCAAGCTAGCTGGCCGCTACGCGCGGGAACATGCGCGGGCTAGCGCGGCCGCAGAGATGCACCAACCAACGCCAAGCACTCCTCATCGCAATCGCCGCCCCATGGGTCTTGCAAACCACGTGGCAGGTGGCTGGGATGTTTACAGGGAGATGGAGATGGTCCACTCGTTTGTAAAAAACAAAAACACCACATAAATTGCACCACATCGCTTTTCCTGTTTTGAAACAGATGTTCTACCCCCGCCCCGGAGCCAGACTTGGCGGTACCCCCTGCGACGCTGTAGTGCACATTTAATTCTGCCCCATCACGCATGCTCCGTATGAGCTCCGACCATCAGATCCAGGCCAACACCGACAGCTCGCATCCTCTCTGTCAGATACCACCATGCGCGCACGCACGCTGACCAAAAGTCATCTGCTTTAGAAAGACCCCGGAAAAAATGGCACGTCGACGCGCGCGCGTCGTCGCGGGCGCATGTCGGATTCCTTCAACACCGCAGCTTCTGTGACGAATAAGTTCAAAAACGGGGCCCCAAAACACCTATACATATACAATCACACACATATATATATATATACATATATATGTACGCAGCAAGCGCAAAGAAAAGGCTGCGCAGCGTGACTTTTCAAAACGTCGGCAACGTGGACCCCGTTCAATGTGCGTCTACAAATTTGAGTTGTGAAATTCTATGTCGCGCAAAGGATGTGGTGCACCCTATGAGGTGCAATTTTCGCTGGGCAACCTATGATGCACAATACAAACGGCGCGACCAACGAGGTGCATCATATGTTGCGCAATCGACGTGGATAAACCTACCGGCGCAGCCTATGTGGCGCATTTGACTTCGGCTTCCTCGCGCGCGACAGCGATCGCCCCACCCACTCACCCACCCGCAACGTCGTTTGCAAAGCCCACGCGGCGGCGATTGCGATGGCTGCGCGGCGCTGGCTGGCGCATCGCCGCGGTTGCGCCAGCGCGCGCAGGCTCGCGCGCAGAGCGGCCGGCTAGTCTGGCGCGACCGACGCGGCCGCGGAGTCGCTGACCTCTGGGAACTTCCCAGTGCGTCTGCCAGACCGCACTGCCGCGCGGGAGCGCCAGTGCGAGTCGGCGACTCGAGCGGGCGCGGCATCGCGACGACGTTGACAACGGCTGACGCGATGCTGATAGTAGTGATGATGGTGACGATGACGACACTGACGACGGCAAGGGCATTGACGGTGGTCGACGACGACGACGTTGCCCTCGCGTCGGCAGCGAAGGTTTTGGAAGGATTTCGACGCGCGCGCGGTCGACGCGCACGCGACTGGCCCGCGCGGCATTATTCGACACGGTTCGCGCCCCCCCCCCCCGCGCAGTGGCGCTGAATGATTTCGACATGTGAGCATTTTCTCTCCCGGCGCTTCGACATTGGGTGGAAAGGGGGGGTGGGGGGGGGGTCTGGCCCCCGACCTCTGCTTAGCGCGACGTTTTGCAAGCGGTGCGCGCATTGCGTGGGAGACCCCACCCGCTTGAAAGAGGCGCCAAAAACAGCCGAGATCTACTCCAGGAGGGGGGGGGAAGCGAGGGCCCGCGCCGATCGGCAAAACAACGAATAAGAAAACGATCATCACGCGCGCGAAAAGCATGTTTGGTAGCATTTGATGAACGCATTGAACATACGCTTTCCTTAAGGTTTCGCAAATGCGCGAGCGCAGACGTTGTTTTGTTTGAACTGTCCTGTTGCAAAGCCATGTGCGTTGATTGTGTCATCAGGGCGTTCGATTTTCATATCCCTGCGAAACCCAAGCAGGTGTTCGATGGATTCCAGCGCGCGCTCGCGGCGACGCGCCCGCGCAGTTCGCGCGGCTTTTTCGCGGCTGGCCCCCCCCGACAACACGCGCGCGAGGGCGCTCGAATCGCATTGGCACGCCGCGCGAGGGGCACGCGAGAAAACGCGGATAACAACATTTTGTACGTGGGATTCGCCAGAGCGCGAGCGGAGGCTACTTCGGAAATTCCCGTTGCGAAACCAGCGGCGCCTTCTGCGTTCCCGGGGCATTCGATTACGAAATCCTTACGGAACCCAAATTGGTTGAAATATTGCGGGATGCGCGCGCGACGACGCGCGCGCATGTAGCCTGGCTTTTGCAAAGGGCGCTCGACGAGCCATCCCTGGGGATGAAGATCTGCGCGCGCATGTTTTTGGGGATGGGATGAGGGGGGGGGGACGGCGATGCCGGCCTGTCCAAGATGGCACGGACACATGTTTACAATGAACGATGGGGCACGATCATACACAAAATTGACCACCCCCGGGGGCGCGTATAAACCCGGCCTCGGGAGGGCGGTGGGCCCCCATTGTTTGATCAGAGAATCAACGCGGTGAAATCGGCGCGGCGCGGTCTACGCGGCGCGCAATCTACGCGGTGCGACGCGCGCGGGGACATTGAATTCTACAGACGAGCTGACAAGCCCCATGCTCTTACAGTCACCCCATTCACACACCCGCAACTTAGATTTCAAAATCCACGAGGCGGCGAATGCGATGGCTGCGCGGCGTTGGATGGTGCACCTCTGCGGCCGCGCTAGTCCGCGCTCGCTCGCGCGCGCAGCGGCCAGCTAGCTTGGCGCGACCGACGCGGCCACGGTGGCGCTGAACGCTGGGCACTTCCCAGTGGGCACTTGAGTGCGAGTCGCTGACTTGGGTGGGCGCGGTATCATAGCGAAGCCGACAACGGTAGACGCGATTCTGAGAGTCGCGACGATGGTGGCGACGGCGGCGACGACGACGGCAAGGCCAATGACGGTTCCGATATATGTAACTCCCGCGCACAGCGATGACGGCGCCCTCGCGTCGGCGATGCAGGTTCATGAAGGAGTTCGACACGCGCGCGCGGCCGACGCGCGCGAGAGGCCCGCGCGGCGCGGCTTGACGCGGATCGCGGCC